TGTTTTAGCTTCTTTTTCAATCACCTTGTCCATGAACAAACTAATCATATACCGCAAATCATCTTCTTTTAGTTTCATGAAAGAAAAAAAAAAAAGAATTCCTTCTTCAGAATCAGCTTTTCATGTTGCTTGTTCGATTTTCAGTTTGTTGCTGAGGGTAGACCCTTTTACTTTTTGTGCAAGATTCATCTCTTCCACTTTTTTGTCCCATCGCTTGATTAATGTACAGAACTTCATGTGGAATTAGTTATTTAGTGTGTTTGATTAGATGAGTTTATGATCTCCATGAAAGCCATTACAACATCCTCAAAGTTATTCCAAGTCTAGATGATAGTTTAGATTAAACCTTAAAACCCTTTTCATAATTCACCAGTTCAATGACATGAGACAAAGCAACTTTCTAGGTTTAGTCTTTATATACAAGTTACCCAAAAGTTGAATGAGAACAGAGAGAATCCAGAACTAAAGAAAGCTTTTGTCAAAAAGTGATTATAATGGTAAATCATAGATCACGAATTTAAGAATTATTGTCAACATTGCCATAATATTTTTTTTTGTAAAGAGCAGAAGTGATACCAAATCATAATGAGGAAGAAAGGTTACATGATAGGTCAAATCATAATCATAAAAGCAGAGAGAAAATAAAAAGCACACAAGTTACTCGTTTGCAGGAGAGATATCAATTAACGAGTGTGTTCTCTTCTCTCTGGCCAACAGAGTCGAAGGAAACGAAAACATGAGGATCAAATAAGCCGGCTTGGAAGTGCTTCCTTTTCAAAGCAGCAATAACAGGTACGAAGCCCCTGTCTTTTGGAGAGTACTAGGACACATGAAGATAGTTCATTGTCACAAAAAGAGTGTGCGTTGCCACGAAATTAAATCTGGCAGTTCTACCACCTTCCACAATTTCTTCGATATATATTCCGCAGATCCCAAAATTGTTCCACCACATCATATTCAACCATATCCAAATCCACAATGACCCTTACTTGCAAGGGCCATTTTTAATGTTTGAGCAGCCAACTTAGGATCGACCTTCTTAAGGGTTTCGGGATCCTCAACGTCCCAGAAGACGGTATCTTCTGGTTGGAATCATCCAACATATATGGCTTCGACAGAGTTATCCATAGTACAACTTGAAAAGAGGGGTATAAGATCTGCCGTTCAGAGACTTTATCAATTGCAATAATTCATCAATTGCATGTGATTCGTGACTGACAATTAGGTTAACACATTGCAATAATAATTCATCAATTGCATGTGTTTAGAAAATAGATGAATTACTGAAAATAATAATTCATCAAGCCCATGTAGTTAGGGTTTTAGCATGATATATTTGATATAAATATGAGCGTAATAACATTGTATTTGAGAATCTTTGGCTGCTAAAACGCAGCCGAGAATTTTTGCAGCCAAAGGTTCAAATACAATATCATTACACTCATAATTATATCCTCAAAGGTATTGATCTAGTTGCAATAATAATTCATCAATTGCATGTGTTTAGAAAATAGATAAAAGTTTTTGTTTCTATGTTTTTAGTCGACATTATATCCTCAAGTAAAATAAAATACATATGTTTATAAGAAACCGTTGTTTTATTAAACATATAAATAACTAATTTGAATCTAATTATTCTACTTTTAATATACTGGATTAATTCTGTATTTGAACTTTAGATTAGATGAATCGACCTATATATATATTCTTCTTCTTCTAATGATTGTAATTGGAGTACTATTTGAAAAAGTTTAGTCAGTAGTCGTATTTGGGAAAAATAAAGGCATATCATCATCATTCATCAACTTGTTTATTATTCGTTCACGTGAACATCACTATTTTGTATTTGGAAAAATAAAGGACTTGAAAATTTGTCACCTATGACAGGAATACTACTCTCTTTGAATATTTCAACTAGACCAATTTCTTTTTCTTTTTTTTTGGCTAAAAATCTAGACCAAGTATACTTACTCCAACTACATAAGCTTAGAT